CACCTTTTAAGCCTTTCCTGAAAATTTCCTTGAGTTAACATGAGATTTTTTTGATCGAGATATAAGGATTTTAATTTTTGCTAGTAACAGTCGAAAAACCGGTTTTTCACAACAATGCCTCTAGCGAAGTTATATTCATTTCTACACAAAAACAAATGTTGCCACTATGCTCAGCGTAGTCGATTACCTATAGTCCATGGCATTTTGAGATTCCCAGAGATGTCTGCTCGGAGATAGACACGTGCTCGGGGAAAGCGAGCCCTGCCCGGCGACGATAGCTAGAGAGCCGGGACTTGTATAATTTTGTAGAGTAACGTCCGGACTATCTACGCATGCAAAAAAATTACTAACATTGTATGTTAGTTTTCTGAGAACGGAGCTGGTTTTCCAAAAATCCTCTGAAAACCCGATCTCTGGAATTTTTTCAAAAGTTGCTTCCGCTTGTGAAAAGTTCTGCTCAAGTGTTGGCTATTGAACAGCGAAAATCGCAGGTCTCTATCTCATCCCTATCAAAAATTATTCAAAAAATGTCCGCGGGTCTTGTATTTTGGGATGGATAGTAGTATAACTGGATGATCGAGAAATTTTGGCAATATTTGATGATGATGTGCATGATATTTATTGTAATCATGCAATTTCTTGCCGTCATTCATATGTCATGAACCAATTTGAAAGAAATATGGAAACCACTACATAGTAAATAGTTGACCTCATGTGAATAATATCAAATAGTAGACTAGCATGGTCCGATTAATCTGATGGTAATATGAATAGGAGCGAATAAATGTGAAATTGAATCACATTGAACAATAGAAAAATATTCTTTGTGAGCAAATAGTTCAACAAGATGTTCATGAGTAGTGAAATTATCAAGATTAGCTGACCATACGTTATATTCATAGAAGAACAATGTAAATTGGAGTAAAATAGTGAAATGTTGGAGTGGAATCATTCTATGTATTTAGAGACATAGGTGGCGAAGCCTGTAGGCTATGGGGGGCTTGAGCGCGGATTTGTTAATAAAAAATCTTTTTGTGTTATTTTTAATATTAAAAAATGTTGAGCCTAGCCTAGACCCAATTGGTTCCGTCGCCTATGCTTAGAGATATATTAAGATTAAAAGAAGAATGAGTGTTCACTTAGCAATAAAGTATTACAGCTACAAATTATGCAGTTATGAATTAACATCAAATAATTTATTTGTAATCCTAGCACCAAATGAACTTAAATACCATCATAAAGAATTCGATTTATTCGAAACAAGTCAGAATCTTTCGCCAATCTTTCGTCTCGTTTAGCAGAATAATTTATATGTATCTAAGCACTGTCTGACTATCTGTTTTGTAATTTTGCTTTGAAACTTTTACATGTGCATGGAGCCACTGATGGGTTTAAAACTATTTTTCAAAAGTTAAAACATAAGAATCTAAAAAAGTTGATCCGGTTATAACTCGAGTTGATGATTATAACTATTTCAATCTCAGTTCAAGCGTAGAAACATATTATAGCCGCAGTATCGTATGAACATTCATGCATCGGTAAATCATATGTTGTTTTGATTATATCGCATATCTATTGTTTCATTGAGAGTCCTACGAAGCATTTTGATTTTTTTAACGATCGTCATCATCCGTCATTTATATAATCTGCATTCTAAAACAAACCGTCTTCAAATAAGAGGTATAGATCGGTTGGAAACTAGCCGAATGTCTGTCCTGTTTATCATAGAAGATTTCGGTACTCTTACAAACTATTTATGGTGGCTTAGACGGTAGTATTTCATAGGAGCATGATAGTATCTGAATGCCATCCATCTACATGGTGTTTGCATACCTTTGCAACATTGAAACAAATTTACATAAAATAATAAAACAGATGAGTTTTCTTTTTGGAGTAGGTATTCGCAACTTACTAATTCACTTAATGAAATAAATATGATCTTTTATTGAGAATAACGCATAATAGAAAAAGAGACTGATAATATCCCGCATAATGTCAACGAGTTTTAATCTGTCAATAATCATTTTGTCTCCAAGAATATTCGATAGAGATTCGGTGTTAGTTTTTATCGATTATGACTCAACAGGTACCAGATTAGTATAGCGAAAGATTACTATTAATATAACATTATGTACAAAACCATTTTTGCGATTAAACAATGCTTATTCAGAGAAAGACGAAATATTACTCACTATGTGCATATAGTATTTCGAATCATATCTATGAAAAATATTTTTGTTAAGATATAAAACTATGTTTGGATGATGACAAAAATATAGAAAAGAAGCTTTTAAAGCGATAGAAAATACACGTGAGCTAATTCGCATATTAAGCGATTTCTCTTTTAAAAATATAATAGAAAAGAGGGGAAAAGTCTGGTAAGTACATGAGCTATGATTTAACAGTATATCGAATGATGGCGCCATCTCTGGAGATGAAGCTAATGTAGATTGTTCTAACGTAACTATATAGTCTCCTAAATTATTTTCAAATGTATATCTTTAAACATGTTTCAGGAGAAGTTTTATTTCAGTTGAAAATATACTATTTGTTGTATAGTAACACCAATCAACACAAACATTCCAGTTTTATGAGTCATCATTAAAGTATTCATCTGAATTTTTTGCGATAGACTAATTAGTTTCATTCTCGCTATTGTTGTTGTTGCATTGTATACTCTCTCTTATTTGAATTCGGCAAAAATGCATTTTCAAGTCTATTACGTGCATCAGCTGAAATTCCCAAAACTTCTCAGTTCATTGCGTACTAACGGAACATGGTCAAAAATACATCATCCGTCATTTCTGTCCAATATGTTCGGGTTCTCGTTTCTCCGTGAGAAAATTAGAAATTCAATGTTTCAATTGATGATCAGGGTGTTGGTCGTTTTTCTGAGTCTTTTTTCGCCATGTGCTGCAATGGAAAGTGGACACAAATGAAATCACTTCAGATTTTCTCTAATAGTCTCGATGTTTTTCCCCAGTTTCATCATAAACCTGCGTGCGAGTATAGGTTGCGTGGGTATGACCTTTTAGAATATTTTTTTTATCGTATGTAAGACTACTCTAAAGTTTATGACAATCACGAACATAAAATAAGTACTATGTCTCACGTTACTGTTAGCAATGAAAAATTCTAAAGAATGTAATTTCGAAGAGTCAGATGAAGTCTTCTCCGTCGCATTGAAGACTAGTATTTTGTGCATATTTATTTAATACAAACAAATAATTCACTTTTGTTTTCTTTCTGGCTTAGAAAGCTAGAAAAAAACAGAGTGAAAATCTACAATGTATGAAGTGAATGGAGAACTACTTAGAGAATAGTTAAAAGTACAGATCAGTAACGGAAATAGTAACGAAATGAAAATGTTAATTGTATTCTGTTTTTTTTATGTAGAAATGTTCTGCTCTAAAATAGTAGAGTTATAATGAGTGCTGTCAACCCCGTTTCTACCGAATCAATAGAAACTGTGTTTTGTACGTATTTGGACTATTTCACATACTGATGACGTTATCGGTTGATGTGATCTCTTCTCTTTATTCTAGTTAAAGCAACTAGTCCTATTCACAAAAGTGCGGATCCAAATTTAACAAATTTATTTTGTTCAAAAGTAAATGCAGATCCGGAGGGACATCAAACAGCTATTCGTCTTATATCACATAAAATACAATCACCACAAGAACATGAAGCTTTAAGAACATTAGAAGTATGTTGATTATTTTGAGATGAGAAAAAACAGATTAACAGTAGCCTTTATTTATTTACATGTTGTAGTTACTTGAAGTATGTGTACAAAGTTGTGGTCGACGTTTCCATCAAGAAATTGGAAAATTTCGATTTTTAAATGAAATGATTAAACTTGTATCACCTAAAGTGAGTGATATCAAATAATTATCTGTGCAGATTTTACTGTTGTTGTTGTATATCTAGTATTTAGGAAATCATACATCGAATAAAGTAAAAAAGAAAGTAATCGAAATATTATATTCATGGACACAAGCTCTTTCCACAGAAGTGAAAATAACAGAAGCTTATCAAATGTTAAAAAGACAAAATATTGTTACAGATGATCCAACTTATGTTGACAAATGTATTCTGACTCCACTGTCACAACGACAAAAGTCTATATTTGATGATGATGAAAAAAGCCAAGTAATTTGAATTATTTTTCTTGTATTCTAGTAATTGTTGTAAAAAATTTTTAAAATTTAACATATTTCTTTCAGACATTACAACGATTATTGAAAAGTCGAAAACCAGAAGATTTAGAACAAGCAAATGCACTAATTAAAAATTTAGTCAAAAAGGTAACTTAATAGAATCAATACTTTAATTTCTTCTATAGTTAACCTTATCTATTGAAAACTACAGTAAAAATGAACGTTGCAATATTTTAAGTTATAAAGAAATCAATTTGTTCGTCATTCTTCTGTTTTTTTACTTCAGTTTAAAGACAAACATCTGTTTTATTTGTAGGATGAAGAGAAAACGGAGAAAATATCCAATCGTATTATCGAATTAGAAAAGATCAACAATAATGTACGAGTATTAACAGAAATGTTAGTACATTATAATCACACATCGGTCACTGATGCTGAAAAAGAAACTATGAAAGTATGTAGGATTATTTCTATTTTGTTAATTTTATTATATATTGATTTCTTTTCAGTATCTATACGACGAATTAGAAAAACTACGTCCAGTACTTTTTCGATTAGTATCGGAAAGTGAAGATGCCAACGATGGACTTGGTATGTATGCAAACTATCTCAATCGAAGAAAAATTTAATGATATTACGCTTAGCGTTCTTTTTCAAAAGAAGATGGGAGTTGATTGAATTAATTATGAATTTTTTCTTTTTCTAACACACACCAGTAAAGCTACGAGACTAGAATTTTGAACAAATTTAATTTGAATTTTAGGTGATATACTAGCAGCCAGTGATACTGTGTCACGTGTTCTTGGTCAATATGAACGTTTAGTTACACAAGGAAGTCTACTACAAAAAGATGGTATATTTTACTAGTGGAAAATGAGTAGTCGTGTATGTTGTGTTATGCTATGTATCTAGATAATGCATTACAATTGGATATTCCCTTTGGTAAGCAGAGTGGTCAAACTTTGAATCAACAGTCAACACAAAAAACTTTGATCGATTTTCATGAAGGAAGCAAGACAGGTAGAAACAATATCTTATTTTCTCACTTGTAATCATATTTCACTTTATTTATTTAGTTTAATTTTGCATGAAAGTTTTCTAATACTTTAAGAAACCAGCGTCTTCTTTCCGATTATGTAGTTTATTTCTTTCTGAAGATATATTAGTTATTCAAATACAACACTTCAACTAATCAAATCATTCTTTTTTTATTAAATTTAGATGCTGAACTAATGTATACATCATCCTTAATTTCGAATGGAACAGCAAGTGACGAAAAATCTCACACAAGTTCGACAAATAATGCAAGAACTGAATTAGATGAATTATTTTCATCCAACTTAGTATTGGGTAGTACAACATCACAATCAAATTTTGGCGAATTTACAAACGGTTTAGATATCACAAAAAAACCATTTATTGACGAAATAGTAGCACATCATCCTATTCGAACAGTTACTACACCAAAAGACAATCAGTCTCTTCAGTCTTCACAACATAAACATCTTTCATTATTAGATGACTCATTCTCATTAGCGCCTAATAACGCAGGTTTGTAAGCCACCCTATTATATTATCATTTTTGCTCTCAAAAACAATATAGTTTCTTAGAAATAAATGTCAAATTGATAACTTGTTTTTTTTATTCAGATTCTTTACAAAAATCTCAGCAAGTTGTTGCATCATCACATCATAATGAAGTTCCTTCAATTTCTTCCACAAATAAAACTTTACCATCTGCAAGAAAAAAAATTGATGATCTACAAGATTTATTAAATAAAAATCTATTTATACAAGACGGATCACAATATCGACGAACAACATCACAAAGGTAATGTGATAGTTTATATCAATTGAGGTATATCTGAGAGAAAATTATTTATTTTAGTTTTATTCCATCTGCTCAGGCAGCTCTGGCTTCTAAAAAGACGCCATTGAATGAATTATCTGTTAATGTTAAACAACAATCTCTTACAAGTTCCTCAACCACAGCCGGTGATTCGTCGTCGATGAATGATATTCTTCCATTAACAAATGTAAATGTTCCGTTAGAAACAATAAAACCGTCAAATCATTCTCCGGTGACTCTCTTAGAGAAAACTAGTCATGGTCTCAAATGTATTTTGCATTTTGCACGCGATTCTCCACGCACGGACATTTTAGTTAGCGTTTTATCAGTGACTAATACAAGTATGACAAATCAAATTAAACAATTTATAATTCAAGCAGCTGTACCTAAGGTAAGAACTGACAAGTATTGAGTGTCCAGGAGTAAATGAGTCTCGTTTTATTTTCATTATAATTTTTTTTTGTTACGTTTCCCTAGTCTTCATTTTCTTTTTAAATAAGATGCGTATTGAGTTGCTTTATAAAAAACACATTGCACATATTTCTGTAAATCTCGAAAAATGGAAAACTATGAAGCTAATATTGTGAAACTTTAATCTCCATTACTTCGTAACCCAGAAAAGTTTTTTTAAATTTAACCCTTTGTATATTGCGACATAAAAAAGAGAAAATTGCAGATCTGCAAAAGCTCTATCAACTGGCTATACTTAAAATCTTTTATAATCACATGCAATTGAAAGAGAATCATTTTTCTGTTTCTCGATTTTGCCAAGAATCGTCATTTTCGAGCTGTACTTTTGGCCACTTATGGAAATTTTTATAACTCGGCTAGAATCAAGCATTTAAAGGTCGGCGTTGTTTTCTCTTAAAGAAAACTAATATTTCTGTTATATCCAACAGAAAAAGTTCAATAACTCCATTTCTTTTCCATTTTCAAGATGAAAAAGTCAAATTTGCAGCTATTTTTTTTCGTAAAATCACATTTTGTATCGCAAAAAAAAACGTCTAAATCGAATCTCTGATACACGAAAGGAAAGGCGACATGTCAGACCACCAGAACATTCATTTTGATTCCACTTTCATGCAAGCCACTGTGTTCAAAATACGCTTTTCTTTAGGTTATAAAGTAACAGAGATTAAAACTTCACAATATTTGCTTCATAGTTTTTCATTTTTCGAGATTTACAGAAATATGTGCAGTATGTTTTTTGTAGAACAGTTCAACACGCATCTTTTTTAAAAAGAATATGAAGTCTGGGAAATGTAACAAAAAAAAAGTTATAATGAAAATAACAAGAGGCTTGTTTACTTCGGGACACCTAATAGAACGATTAGTGACTATATTTAATTTTTTTATTATATTTAGACAATGCGTGCTAAATTGCAAACTCCATCAGGCTCTGATTTACCTGTTTATAATCCAATACTACCATCCACAGCTATTACACAAGTGATGTTAATCGCTAATCCAAAAAATGTATGTACAAAGTTTCATTAACATTGTTAACATATTTAATACGAATAGTCATCTTTATGGGTTTCTGATCTACTATTCTTATTTCTTTGGATACTAAGTTGACGCATATATTTTTAGGATAAAATTCGTCTACGTTATAGAATCTCTTATCAAATCAATGATGATACACATATTGAAACCGGAGATTTTGATCAATTTCCATCCAATGATTTACTCTGATTTTTATTTTGTGAAATTTTTTATTTTATTTGTTTTTGTCTTTCAATTTTGTGCCTACTATCGGATGCAAAACTTGTCAAAATCAAAGTAAAAAAGTGACAGATTTATTATTCCAATGTATATTTCTTCTTCATTTGTTTTTTTTTGTTATCTATCAGCATTGTGTTATTTTAGCCCGTACTGTTATTTATTATTGAGAATAAAATATGATGATTTCATCTGTGTTTTATTCATGAGAGTATTAACTTGTTTATTTTTTGTAAATATTGATTGCTGATAGGAAACAAAATAGTTGTTCTCAAAGAAAAATTACTTATCGGCGGTGGTGATGGATCGATCTATAGTTTTTTTATTATGAAAATGTTGGTAGAAGAATCATTTTGCTTCAAAATCGCTTATTGTCAATAGATAATTTATATTTTCGTCTAATATGATACGATCTGGATCGGAATTAACTGTAAAAACTCTTCGCCCCCCTAACGAATAAATCTCGCCAACTGTCCAACGTTGTTTTGGCTGATTTTTTTTGCTAATGAGTAAGACAATTCATGTTTGCATTAAAAAGACTAAGAAGATTTTTACCGATGGCGCTTGGTTCCAGAGAGATCGAATTGTTTTGTTGTTTTCAATGGGTATTACAGTATAGATTGTTTTTTTCTTAGAAGTTACAACAAAAAAAGACTTGAAAGCTGGGAATTTACCGTACATCTGTTTAATGTCTGTCTACGCTGAATGTTTTAATTTTATCCATCATTTGCAAGAGAAATTATAAAATGATTTTGTTTGTTTTCCCTGGGGTAAAGCGTTTTTATTCGTGTTACATTGTTGGGTTTCTTCTTTGCTCCTATAGTTCTAACATTCAAAAAACAAACAAAATCATACATCTTATAAATTCTCTTGCAAGTAATGAATAAAATTGAAACATCCAAAATAGATAGACATTAAACAGATGTACTCTGAATTTCAGTTCTCTAAGTCTTTTTTGTTCTTGACTTATTAGGACAACAGTACAATTCGTTTTTCTCTGGAACCAAGTCACATGGACAAGAATCCCCTAAGTCTTTTTTCATGGAATCATGAGTCCTTATTATCTGGAAAAAATCAGCCAAAACGGCATCGAACAGTTGACAAAATGCTTTGATAAAGAAATTTGAAATTAGTACTATTTGTTCGTTTAATATTTGCTTTAGAATTACTGATTTTATCGGTGTTGTTCTACTTCGAATCGAGTTGCATGCGAGTATTAGAGATTAGCTTAGTGAACGAACTTAAAGAAGGCGTTATTAACCGGTTTAACTCAAGTCCTAGACTGAGTACCTTTCTCTTTTCTTTTTGAATAAAACGCAACAGAATGAGTGTATTGTGCATTATGCTAATATTTATTTTCACTGTCGAATAAAAACGAAATTCAATATTCATCTATTTACATATTATCCGGTGCGTGCATAGTTAATGTTTTTGACAATTGTATACCTATTCTTGACTATGTTTTTGTCTTTTGTTCTCGCTATGTATATGTTTTCTATTCACATGACTGGAGGAGGTTAATGTAATAATCCGTTTCAGACTAGTCTATGACCTATTAATGTGTGTGTCATACACGTAAAATATTATTGAAAATCAAGAAACCGTAAAACATTTAAACGAGTATTTTTATAATTCTTCTTTCGTAAAATTTTATACTTTAAATCGTGACAGGCCCTTTAGCAATTGAAAATTAGACTCTTTCGATCTATCTTACACGTCACAATATCATTTGACTCCGTGCCATGAATCAACGATGTGTCAGTTGTTGAACTGTTCGCTTCCAGTCGTTATAGCGACTGGCGCATGAGAAAAGTGCTAGTCGACCGTCGATGGTTTGTTGATTGTATTTGCCATTTTTTAATGATTTCCTATCAGGGACTCGTCCAGCCCAGGACACGGTCGGTCATTGAGTACTTTTAATTTCCAGGACTTCTAGTTGTCTGCGAGGTGACTACTTCTATATACCTATTTCCATTTTAGATTCATCCACTTGTACTGCCTAATATCTTTTACGGTTTACGGGTAATTAATGTGCGCGAGACAAGTGGGCATATAACGTTCGACAGATTTTTCGACTCAGAAAGGAACTTCGGCGCCAGGAGTAGTTTTAAAATATCAACTTGAAATAGGATAACGCGTAAAAGAGCCGGAGTTTTGAATTTCTACTTTGTTCTATTTTCTGAAGGATTTTACCTCAATAGTTCAAAAAACGCGAAGAAACTAGTGTAAAAGAAGAAGGACCTCAGTCAAAATTCGGGCTCTTTCACGTTCTTCCCATATACCTTCGCTTCATTAAAAACAAAAAAAGAGTCCGATCTGACTGACTGTTTATGGCAGGGGGAAATCTGCCGGACTGTAACTTTCGCCAGACAAAAGACACAGTTTCGAGAACGCCGCCAAACCACTTTTTTCTTTCTGAAAACTACTTTTTTCGTATGTTTCAGCTCCTAAAAGTTAGTGAAGTTCTCAATAGGTTTTTCAATAGGACTATGGAGATTCGGATACGCATATACTTGCATATGTTTCATATATACGTATTTGTATGTTTTTCTCATTACCATTTTTTAATCTGTAAAGTTTATGGTGCATGCATTTCTACACGACTTCTAGAAAACTTTGTGAAAAACTACACAATATGCTTTTAAGCGAATGAAAACTACTAGTAAATTTAAAACGGGACACTTAGAGTTATATAGGCAGACATTTGTCTCAAATATTTTTGACAAAAATGTGCTAATTCTAATCGGACAATCTTAAAATTCAATTTATTATTTTCTAATTGTTGATCGATCTAATCACATGAGAATGTATTGATTTCAAGATGCTCGAATTGATCCCATACTATCTATAGTGTTACAAGTATCCTAGAAATGTTTTGGTATTTGAGCACCTATTCTGAATACTCTTGTCATATATTTTGACGTGTTCAAGATGATTCATAATTAATCATTTTTAAATAGACTCTCTGCACCATAAAAAATAATTACGGTAAAAAGTGGCAAAAAGCAGAAAAAAAATGCAGGATTCATAATATTCCGCATCGTGATGTTTATTCTGGAAAATTCTAGCATATTGTGAGCAAAATTTTAGTAAAAGTCTCATTATGTCTCACAATCGTGCTAAATGCTGTGACAGTTTTATAAATTTTCGCGGAATTGTGGCATATTGTGAGACATAATGGGAATTCTGCAAAAAGTTTGCTTACAATACGGTTGAATATCCTAGAATAAACATCACGATGCAGAATATTGTGGATCCTGCATTTTTCTGCTCGGTATCCTAGATGAGTATCCTTTAGAAACTTATTTCTAGTCATAAGAACAGTAGCAGAATTTCTGATCATCAATGTTGGGTTTATACGTGTAGTTCTTCTCTATTGTTTTTTTATTCAAAGTTGTTTTGCTCTTATTTCTTAGAAAAAAAAGTTTCCCATTTTATTTCTTTTCTAACTCTTTGTTTCTTACTGCAAGATACAGAGCTAGAAATTCTACTGCCCGTGAGGGAATGAAGATCTATGTGCAACCTAACTCTGTTAAACATCTCAATTGATCATTTATAATCTTTTATAAGTTGGTTGTAAAACAAGTGTCAAAATATGAGATTTTGTACGACACATTATTGTCAAATTTGATCATATACAGATCGGATTAGTTTTAAGAGAAACTCGATATCCAAATCTATAAAATAACTATTGTAAACTTGCAAATTTGTTTTTCAGGATAGACATGCGATTGAAATCGTTTTCGATCATTTATTCATTTTGATGAAACCTTTAAAACAAAAAATGAATAATTGTTGTGTATTACAGTGCACCTTACTGAGCTATGTATATTGGCGCTAAAGCCACAATCATGAAAGTATGGCGTATGTTTAATGTTCCTTTTTAGGACATACAGAAACACACCTGGAGGTCGTATTATGAAAAAATTTACGTCTAACTTAAGTCAAAGTTTGGGCTTAAGTTTTTTCAGGACTTAGGTCACTAAATTGAGTCTTTGGACTTAAGTTTTACCTTATTACAAAATAACTTAAGTCAAAGGGTGACTTAAGTCATGAAAATGTAGTCTTAAAGTTAAGACCGATAACTTCAGTTGGACTTAATTCTTTGACGTATTTTTCAAACAGCTCAGACATTTACGATACGATTCGACGAAAACGACTTTTTAAGGTTTAAAGAATAAATATTTCGTTATTTTGTAGGTTTTTGTCCCAAGTTTGTCACTGTTGTCAACGACTTTCAAAAAATAAACAAATCACCAATCTAAGTCTTTCCGTAACACGGTTTAAGTCACCAAACTTAAGTCGGTCTTAAACTTTAGACTTAAGTTTTTTCGTAATACGGCCCTCCTCTCACTTTTTAATGTAACATCACGTCAAGTTGCATCACATGTCAGTTTTATTCAAGGTTACTCTACTAATATGCCTGTATGACAAAAAAAATCGAAGTTGTTGATGACACATTAGAAAGTTCTCCCTAATAAGAGAATACCGCTCGACATCGTCTTAGTGCTGACCGAACGATATTTCGTTTCTATGCAGAATATAAATTCTTTTTTTTGAATACAGCACAAAATCCCCTCTCCATAAAAATCTTTAATACTCAGAATAAATTAGAAGACTCGGCTCTTTTATTGCGTCATCCGATCGAAGTGAAACCGTATCGAGCAATTCTACATAATACATATTTTAGGAGCTTTAGAAAACTTTATCAGAAACTTCGACAGATTACTTATAAGATAGAAAATCCTATGCTGAAAAAAAATTGAATCTTTTTTTCTTCTATAAGCGAAATCAATGTTGTCGATGTTAATCTAAGTTTCGGACAGTTCTATCCAATCTATAGACGCATAACAAATAACGAAATATCTCTTTTCGTACAGACCGTTTGTTCTCCGTTATATGTAGCAAACACTTTCGTTTGTTGTTCCATTTTTCTTAGCAAGTTATTTCAGATACCTTGTATGAAAAGAGATATCTTATTACTTTGTTAAATTCCTAAAATATATCTTTTGTGAAAATTTATAATTATAGAGACATATTATAATCACTATTTAATCTATTTCTGATTAAAACTAACAATTTTCGCGTAAAAGAAATTCGAGAAAACACAACGATGTTTTAGAAAATTTGAGCAAAACGATAGATAAAGGCCCAGTAGCAAAAGGTCGAGATAAAACAGCTGTATAATATATAGAGAGCGAATGAGTAATTTGTAAATGGGAAAATTTTTTTGTCAATCATTTTTACAATTTAATAAGTGATAAAACATTTAAAAGATATTAGACAAACATCAATTCTTAAAGTGAAAATGCTTACTTAAAATGGGATAACATGTGATAGATAGTCATATATAAATAGAATAAAATTTAGATAAATCTTTTTTTTTTTGATCAAATTAGACTGTAACAGTTTATTACTCTAAAATAAACAAAACGTATTAGAACATTTTTAATACAAATCAATTTTTTTGTCATAAGAAAATGATAGAGTGAGTGGTACCGGTATTTTTTATGACTGGTCACATTTCTTACAATTTAAGTGTATCATATCTCTCTATCTTTTGTATTCTTTGTTTCTCGAAGAATTCTCATTTATTACATTGCTCTCACCTGTTTATCAACTTTTTTTTCTATTGAAATTGACTGAGAATAAAATTTTTGTTTTTAAAACACAACAAAAAACTTCTCTTCTTTTTTTTGTTTTTTCTTTTTCTCTTCTATAAATTATAATTTCTTTTCTCTCTTAGCTAAACAATCTTTTCTTTCAATGGTTTCGAGCACGCTTAATATTTTATTCTTGTAAACAAATGAAAATGAAATATTTAATGCATAACATTAGATGATGATGACACACACACACACATGCATAGATAAAAACAAATAAAAGATAGTGTAAAAGAAATAACGGTGTACATCATTAGAATAAAGAAATATGTAAAAAAATATACAGATGAAAACACAGTTAACACATCATTTTAAATAATGTCATTGACTAGACAATTTTCATTGCGTAGGAGTAGTAGAAAGACACAAAAACCGGAAGATAGTCAATCAGAACAACATTTAATCAGTGATTCTCAAGAAAACTGGCCAACATTGAAGAATAAAATACATTTGGTAGGAAAATATCATCACATATAATTTTTAATATAATTTTAGTCAATTTATCAAAAATTTTATGCTCTAGTTTTTCTTTTTATTAATTCTTTTTTTCTTAAAGATTTGAATGTTTTGTTGAAAGAGAATATTAAGATAAGAATGTATTTATTAACAGCATAGGAAAATATTCTGTTAATAAATACAAAACATTATCATTATAAAAATTCGACGAGAGAGTCGAGTGTTCATCATGAGAAATAGCAATCGATACCTTTTCTCTTTAAATATTCAATTCTTCTTACTCGTTTAATACGTACGATACGGAGACAAATATTTCAGATAATTAAGAATCTGTTTGATTTCTGATTATCCAACATTCTACTCTCTCTTTTTTCCATATTAAACTTTTAACAGAAATGTCATCATCTTCATAATGTTTTACATTGGATAGGACATTCTACTCTTCTTATTCTTCTTGTAACAGAAGAATAACACTCACTATCACAATAAATGAACTGTAGATGGTTTTCTATTCTTCACTTTTGTATATTGACATGAATTTATTATTTAATTAAAATGGATATTGTTTTTTTTTTTTAATGATAATGTTTATTTTATTTTATTTTAGATGAACAAGTTAAAACCCTTTTTTACACCAAGGTAATTTGTTGAATATTTTTGCTTTATCTCAAGAATTTTATCTAAATTTTTTATTTTTCTTCTTTTCTAGAGATAGTGATCGTACAGAATATTATAATCGTGTTCGTTATATTCGTGATTCATGTAAAGTATTATCAGATTTATGGAAAACAGAAAAAGATTTTGTATGTATTCATTCTCTTATCATTCATTTAGAAAATAATGTTTTATTTTTTGTTTTTATTTCTATTTCTATTTTAGTTAAGTAAAGGTATTGATTGTGATGTATCAAAAGCATTTAAAGATTTTAAAAATAGTGAAGTTGGTCGTAGTTATCGATCATCCTATGGTGATGGTACAAGTACACTTAATCGTCCATCAATTTTAAATTCATCAATCGATGATATAACTCTTATACACGATCAAATTGACTATAAACGAAAAGAATGGTATGATAAATTGAAACGAATTACAGATCAAAGTAAAGAAAAACAAGTAAGTTATGAAATTTGTACTTGGACATGTAACAATTCCAAGTTGATCGACAACGAACCGTTCAGTGGCCGAACATGTTCGGTCAGCGAGCGATTCGCTACCCAGAGATTTAAAAGAAATAGTTTGTCAAAGCTAAGAACACGAGTGTCTTTTAAAACACATAAAAGAAATCCGTGTAAAACAGAAAAAATGGTGAAGATTACACTAAACGAAGGAACAGTCATGATTAGATCGTAGCCGTAGGTAGCCATTTTCATGTAAAGAAAAGTTTGAATTAGAGTAACAACTTAATATTTGTGTTTTATTACAGTAAGCTCAAAGTACCTTTAGTTTCCATTAGATCTTATTTACTCTCTAATTAAAGCAGACGTTACTGATATGGCCTCTGTACACTGATGAGTTTAAAAACTGTTTTTTGAAAGTTAAAAGTTGAGAAAATTTCTAAAAAAGTTGATATAGTTAAAACCCTACTTATAACTATCAACTCGAGTTGATCGATATACCTGTGGTTGAACGAGTTACAACTCCAAATGGACAGAATGATAACCAGTCCCACTTCGGCTATAACTGCATCAATTTTAGTAACGAGTACCAACCCAAAATAAAATTATGAAAGCTCATTTCAGTGTGTATTATGCAAGGGGGAAACAGCTGATTTTGTGATTTCTCCGATTTTCACTGATTTTCATCGATTTTTTCCGACTTTTTTGTGATTTGTTTGGGAAATGGGAATAGTGTTGCATTGGGAAATAGTGCGAAACCTGCTTCTTTATTTGTACAAAATGTGAATCAGACATAGTGAAAGTAAAGAAAAGAACGATAAAATCATAAGCGGCTTTTAGCGATTTTATAATAGTTATAACTCTCTCAGCTGCAGTTATATCAGTCAAAGCTATCAAACGGAGTTATTACTATCAATCGTGGTTGATAGTGATAACTATTGTCAATTTTTGACTAAAAATTAAATTAATTATAACTAATTTCAACTTCAACTAGTTATAATTCAGATAGTTTTAAACCCATCAATGCCTCTGTAGCATCAGACTGATTTACTTTGTTTTCATGCAAAAATGCTTTTTCTTACTGTACAAATAAAGTAAACAGATAGTAGCAACCCTAATTCGAATGTATCTTTATAAGGTTTATGGTACTTTGTCCTAATAGAGTTCCTCAACAGAGCGCTCACCGATGTCTCCGATGAAAAAAATATAAACTATCGTATTTGAAATCTTCGTTCGAACAAGTCTGATCACCGAACTATCGGATTGGTGCATGCCTACTCGTACTCAGAGATGTATAAGATGATAAATATTGTGTTCTCTAGGCAACTATTCGACAAACAATGAACGATCTAAGAGAAAATTATGAAAAAGCACAAAAAAAATTAGAAACAGCTGATAGCAATTTAAAAAGGTATGTAAAGATATTGATAGAATCGTTTTTTTTAATTAATTTTTATTCTTTTTCTATTTTGTATTTTTTGTTTTTGTCTAGATTTCAAACGCGTGATCGTCTACCACAGTCAAATTTTGATGATAAACAACGTGAATTAGAAGATTCTCGACTCGAATGTGAAAATGCTCGACAATTAGCGCGAGATCAATATCAAACTGAAACATATCGTATTGCATCTGAAGAAAATGATATTAGTCAATTCTATTTTTATGAATATTTAAAATTACAACAAGACTATTTTAATTCTGTATCATCATATTTAAATCAAGAAGTTCCACTTATTTTACAAAGAATTCATCAAGATGAATTACAGCCAATGTTCAAACGTGATTTAAAAGATCATTTACAACGAACAAAACGACAAATTGCTTATGTTATTGAAACATGTGTAAGACTATTAAATTCAGATAAATATTTAAGAGAAGAGGTATGAAATATTATACTTTTATATAGATATCTTTATTTTTATTTTATTTTTTTTTTTTGTTTATCTTTTATGTAGGGTTTATTTCGTATTGCTGCCAGTCAAATTAAATTAAGAAAATTTTGCTCAGAATTAGATACATACGCCATTACTGACAAGCATACATTAACTGATTTAGGCTATGATGCTCATGTAGCAGCTGGAACATTAAAACAATATCTTCGAGATTTACCTGATTGTCTAATGACATCAAAATTATTACAACAATGGAATGATGCTGCCTCAGCTAAGTAATAATATTTTTCATATTGTCGAAAAGAGAGTATTGTGAGAAAATCAGAGATCTCAGATCTTCTGATTTTTAGATTTTTTTTTCTGATTTTATGTGAATTTGAACTGAAGTTTGGCTCATAGTGCATGTATCGTATCACATTCATATCGCTTTCTGTTCTGGTAGTAGGCACTGAACAATAATATCCCAATAGTTCGTTATAATTCTTTTTTGTCCTTATCGCAGAAACTGTTCATTCTTCTATTGATTACACTAGTCTACAAGCTTAGACATACTTTGTACATTCGAGCGCTCGAGAACTGAGAAAAATTCTGAAGTTTTCTCAACGTAAGAGAAAGAAACATCTTCCAGAATGGGAAGAATTGGGGTGTTTTAGAGTTGTCTGAAACGGATTGTTTTTGAGAATGTCTATCTCAGATGCACGAACATATGCTGTAGTCGTAATTCAAATTCATTTAAATTTTATATTTTGTCCAGCCAGAATTCAACAGTTTAGCATTGATGTGTTTTGATAACACACACCATCTCTTATCACATTCTGTACTTGATGTCTTTTACAAATTTTGTTTCATTGTACTTTATGTAGTTATTTCCTTATAAACTGAAAAAAGAATGTAAAAATCAGAACCGATGAGAGAATGTATGTACTATTCGAATGAAGAGAAAGTAGTATAAAAATTCGTATTCTAATTTTCATCTTTTGGATTTAAGATTCCTGGAGAAAATGTACATTTTATGATGTGAATCGTTATACGAACGTTTTTTTTATTTCTACTTACCGTGTTTAAACCTTTTGTCTACCGATTTGTTTAGTGTTACTGATGCTCAACGTTTACAACGTATTAAAGATGTCCTTGGTCAACTACCAAAACCAAATTATGATAATTTATGGTGTGTATCATCTAATTGTTAATCTTGAAGATATACGTTGAATTTCTTTTTATTTTTAGTTATTTGGTTCAATTTTTATCCAAAGTCGAAGAATATTCAAGTGAAAATAAAATGACCGCATCAAATTTGGCCATATGTATTGGATGTAATCTTCTTTATCCTTCCACATCTCGACATTCCACATCTTCAATAAATTCTCTATCTTCTGCTACACAACAACAACAACAACAACAACTACCTGTAAATTATGTAACAAGTGGAACGATATTAGAATTAATGATTTTACATCTCGATCAACTATTTCCCTCCGGTACGTAGTACAACTGAATGACACTGTAAACTATGATGCAGTAAAAATGAGACATCTTCATATTCAAATTTTGCTATCTTTTCCACATAGAAACGATTGTTTTTGTTTGTGTTCAGATATTGTATTTCAATCCACTGAACCATCTTCTGTCAACACTTCGTCATCAGCTACGAATCATTATGCTAATATACCTAATATACCTAATATGGCTAGTGGATATCCTACGAATGATCAGCAATCGTCTGCAACATATCGTGAATCTTATCGTCAGCAACCGCCCGATATTGTACCAACTGGACATGGTGATCAACAGTTTACAAATAATAATAATTTTGTAAGTTAAATAACTTTATAAAACTCTTTCTATAATTTTGAAATTCTTTTCTATTTATTTTCCAGAGAAGTTCATCAAAAGAAGATCTCTTAGAGTATTCACAATATCCACATACTAGTGGCTCTACACAGTACGTAACTAAGATTAATTATTTTTTATGAGAAAAATAGAAATAAATTCCTAAAATTTTTTTTTTCTCATACTTTTCTTATAATAAGAACTAAAATATTAAATAATTTTTGTAGACTGCGTCGGTAAGTTAACCGTTATGATTATTGTAACTATCTTGGTTGGTAGAATAACTAATATTTTGTTATATATCATAACTACAGTTTTGTTGTTTTTGTGCTATTATTTATTAACTAAACACGGTTTTGTTGTAGTTAATGTCTAATGCCTCTAAATGTATAATCAGTTATTAAAGCCTAGTCTCATATTTAGACAAGCAAGCACTATACCTGTCATTAGAGAAAATCGAGAGTGAGTACAACAAAATACTGCTGCTAAAAGCTTTGAAATGGCTTTTTATACAATCGTCATCGTTGAGAAAGTGTTTTTTCGTGATATACACATAATTTTCACAAATTCTATAAAAATGAAAGGTTAAATATTGTAATGTACACTATTGTCCATAGTAGACTGTTGGCTAACAGATATTATTTTTCTAACTTTTTGCTTTTGTTTGTTCACTCCATTAGCTTTAGAGCAGCGCAAAAAGGGCAGTGAAGAGACGAACACAAGCATCATATATTACATACAATGAGAAATAAGAATTCTTAAGCAGTTTATAAAAGTAAATACGTTTGTGGCATGAATGAAATTTTGTAGACTCTGTTCTACTATTGGTATAATTGTGATTTGTGTTCTGCTTTCGATCTGTTATTCTCCTTCCTTGCCTGTGCTCTGTGTTCACATGTATAATTGGTAAAAGTTAACAAGATCTACATTAATTTCCTTTGATTATCTAGATCGCCTAGTACACGACGAAAGAAACCAGCTCCAGCTCCACCTCCGGTTCAAACAACCGGTATGTAATGCACTTATAAGTTTCGCGACGAGTGACAGCAACTCGATTGAAAGTGATTAATCTAATAATATTAACTCCCCTCCCTCCCTAGAATAGAAGGCTACATCTGAGGCAATTCTGCAAAATCCATATTAAAAGGTCATGGACTTCTAATACGACCACGCCACTTTTTTCAAAAACTTTTCAGCATTTGACTTCTAGAAACTGAAATTATGCATGTTTTCGGTCTTCGCTCTTGGAATTTTGGCAGGGAGTTGTGACAGAAGTAGAGAGTATAACCCGTCTCTGTTAATTATGTCTTCTGTCGAATAGCCCTAAATATCGAAAATAGAGAAGTGTAATCGATTCAGTCATCGCGATCAATTACATTACACTCAAATCGATAGAAACTAGACAATAGGTATACTGATCCTCATAATTGATGTTGATGAACAGGAAGTGCCAGAAGCGTAGAGAAGAGGAAAAATTCAATAGCAACAAATATACAACAGCTTAATTGCCTATATAATGAACTTTCATTTGACTGTTTTTGGTTAGTTAAGCTTCGGAGATGTAAGAGCAGCCTAAAACCTGGATTCTCAATTGTTGAGTAGTGCCCTAGAGTATCAGTTAGTTAACCGTTGTGAAACGAAAAAGATCATTATTTTAAACTTTTTACGAGTTTCGAAAATTCTTAGAAAATTTTTGTTGGAAGGTCAGATTAAAAGACCATCCCAAAAGGTTTGATCCGCTGTGACCCGCATGGCCTTCTAACCTGGGACGGGGGCGGAAGGGTCAGTTGGAAATCAATTCGGTTATAAAAGTATTGTTGTCTCCAATATCAGACAGATCCTATATACAGTATACTAGAGGATGGTCTTTTTCTCAGAAACGAACGTTTCTTTTACAAAAAATAAATTCAATTATGTGATGTTTTTTTATAGGTCAACCTCCAGCGTCGAACATTTATGATAAGACACATCGTCGTTCAGCCAGTGGAAGTTTGCTTGATCGACCTCAAGCGCCACCTCCCGCTCCACCACCTGTAATCACTCCGCTGACTCAACTACTCAGATCTACGACTAAAACTTCCTCAAATGAATTATCCTTTCCTCCGTCTGTTTCCGTCTTACATCGTCATTCCGTCAATCAACCAACAACTTCAGTAGATCAAGAGCTTACACCTACACCGGCACCTCGTCACTTTAGTCATGATTTTTCCACAACTTCAACAGTACAATATCCAAATTTATCGACGCTAGAAACGGTACCAGACAAAGTTTTACCTTATCCTACAATTGGACTGATGCCACAAGGACCAATCACCGAACAGTTACCACATACCCAACGTTTACAAGGTATTTTGTTTTGGAAAGATAATAATCTTAGTATTTTGTTGAATAAAATGTCTCGTTCATTACCAGGTCCTATGTAAAATTAGAAAGAATGATATTTAGAACAGTTTCTTTTCACCATTAACTATCGAAATAGTAAAATATAATTATATTACAAACTTACATAAGCAAAAGAGAGAAATACAGTTCTCTTTCCTATTCCTTGAAGCATTTAGTGATACTATGCACTATTCTACTTGACGAGAGAATCTTCCCAAGTATCCAATCGCTTTTTCCTTAAAATATACACGATTGTGGGTAATCTTTGATGTTAATCACGAATCGGATATCCGTTTGTGCTGCTAAGCCTTTCTGAAATGGGACTCTGGAATCCGGGTGTCCAAAAGCCTCACTATGAACGTCCAAATGAACATATTCTGGCACTGTCAGATTCTAGAGCACGTTAAATTATCTATATGGAAAAATGTTCAGAACCAACAAACAAGTTTTCGCAGAGATAGAAAAATTTTACTTTCTAATCCTGTAGGGAACCAAAATATTTCAGGTTTTTGAACCGTAAAATTTTTCTATCTCTACGAAAACTTATTGTTTGATTCTGAACATTTTCTCACATAGGTAAATCAACATGCTCTACAATCTGACAGTGCTAAAATATGTTCAGCTAGAAGTTCATAGTGGGTCTTTGGACACCCGGATTCCAGGGGGGGGGGGGGGGGGGGGGGGGGGGGGGGGGGGGGGGGGGGGGGGGGGGGGGGGGGGGGGGGGGGGGGGGGGGGGGGGGGGNNNAATTCCCCCCAACGGCAAACCAACACCCCCCCAAAACCCCCCCCCCAAAAAAACGCCCCCCCCCACTGCCACTGGGGGGCGTGGCCCCCCCCCCCCCCCCGCCCCCCCCCCCCCCCCCAAAAAAAAAGGCTTAGTAGCACAAACGGATATCAGGTTCGTGATTAGCATCAAAGATTACCCATAATCGTGTATGTTTTAAGGAAAAAGCGATTGAACACTTGGGAAGGTTCCCTTGTGAGAGTGTGCTACGGGTGTAATATGACCTCTGGCGTAATAAATATCATCACGTTTTCGTTTTATTATTTTCAATTGTTCTAGGATCATCACCATTTTCAGCATCATCAAATTTTTCATCGTCATCTTCAACAACATCGGATAGTTCAGCCGATAATTCACGTTGTGACGAGCCAACAACTGAATCACAAATTGCTCCTGTCAGTGTATTACCTCCACTTCCCGCGAATGTAGTGCCAGCTACAACAACATCATCAGTTAATGTTAGTAAATTAATATCACAATTGAATAATCGAGCTAGTACCAAACAAAGTCCAATTATCAGGTAGGAATTCTAATTTCAATTTAATTAGTATCTAAGATTTGCAAAAAAAAAATGAAATAATTTAATTGATGTGATGAGTGGAATCTGGATAGTTTGAAACTAAATGTATGTTAATCAACTAGATCAACCCTTGAATAATCCATACGGATAAATCAAGTGAATTTTCAGAATTTTTATGTAGATTATCTTGTGCGTTATACCTAAAATGAATAGATTTTGTTTTTTGAACAGTCTATTGTGTTATAGGAAAGAAAAAGTTGAAATTAGTTCAACAAAATAACCGTAAGTTATATGTTGTAATCTAAAGATCAAATAGAAGGAGGATATAAGAGCTCATTTAATGTGTATTAAATATGCTACAATTTTTTGTTGTATTAATTTTTCTGTTGGGTCTCATTCTTTAGCTTATACTAAAACGTTTACTCATTTATCATTGTTTCTCACCGATATATGTTAAATTTACTTTATCTCATTTTAGCCCACGTCCTACTCGTCCACCTCGTCCTCAAACCGTTGGTCAATATTCAGATTTATCGACAGGTGATGCTCATCCACCTCAACAACAACCACTTGAAACATTATCATCACCAAAACAAGCAGAAATAACTGAATTTTAATTATATACAATTTGTGAACATTTTTTTATAAAATTGAACCGGTGCTATTAAAGCCAGTATTAGCGCGCATTCCATACGACTCAGCAGCTCAAACATAAACTAATCTTCTTTTTATCGTTTATTCAACGAATTGAAGTCAAAATAAAAATATTTTTTCGTCTTTTATATGAATCGAATATTTTGTGTGTGTGTGTGTGTGTGTGTATGTGTGTGTGTGTTTATGTATGTATGTCTTGTTGTCTTTCAATAAAACATATATGTGCAAAATGTTAACTATGTATGCTAACCGATTTTGTCTACTCTATTCTATTAATCGGGAAATATCACTTTTCTACTGAACTAAGAGATAATACGTTGGCTTATTGTACGAGATAACGTTAGTTTTACAAATTATCCTTTTAAAAGTTTATTTTAAAGGTTTTTTTTTTCTTTCGTTTTCCAACAGTGAATATATAACAGCAGCAAATTGCTGAGTAATGTCAGCATCAACCCTCAAAATTTCTTTTTTCTTTTCTTTTTTTTTTAAAATATATCTATCTATGAAGTGACTGCTGTTGCTTTTATTTTATTTTTTTGGTTCCATATAGATTTGTAAATAGATGAAGTTGCTACTACTTCCACTTATTTTATGGCATGTTTATTTGTTTATTTTGAAAAGAAAACAAAAAAAAAACAAAAATATGAAACTAATTTTTATTTCTCTCGCTCTATTTTATGCACTATTTTTTTTTTCTTCTTCTTCGCTTGTTTGTCATTATCGTGTCATTGTTTACTACGATTTCGTTGATTTGTTGTTGTTCTTGTTGTTTGTTCATGGAAAAAAGAATTGTTAGTTTGTACGTGTGACTGTTTTCTTTTCTACTTCTTCTCTCGTTTGTTTACACTATGAGGATGAATAAAATCAGAATTAAGAATTAACATATATTCTGTAAAAGATTCGAATTAATTTATTTCGTGTACTGTATGAAATATATTTTCTCTTTCCTTTGGATACAAAACAGAACTAAAATTAATCTTTTAATCTATCGGAATAATCTGATTCATGAAGTAGAACAAACCGCCGAATAAAGAAGAGGACAGTACTCTTGACTAAAATTTTTTCAATAATGAACTCATTTTTACTGTAGATATTGAGAAAATAGAATTTATGTCAATAATTTTAACTAAAATTTTCGATTTTAACCACTTTTTCCTGGCTGATCTATTTAAAGTTGTTCTATTTTAGATTCCTAAATATATCCGGTTGATTATTCTGTTTTTTTTTATAATAGAATTACAACCGTGAAATATTTGTCTATCAAGACGGCATAGACTTACAGTAAGTTCCAAACTCATTTTTGGGATTTTTTTTTCTCTTAATCGAGATAGTCGAGAGAATCCACCAGGTAATGGGAAATTTTGTCAAAACTAGGAGAAACAAAATGCCTCGATTTTTTGATTGAAAACGTTTTAAGATGATTTTTACTTCGCGAACTCCAAGATCTATCTTAAAAGAAAGGTACAATTTTGGTTTTTTTTTCGCTTTAATTGCCGAAAATTTTCATTTCTCTGTCGTATGAAATATTAAAGTACTTATTGAAAAGTGCAGAGAATTATTGTTATTTGTTGCTATTGTTTTTAACGGAACACAACGGTCAATAAAAATCGAAAAATGTACTTTGTCCACAGTGGAAGACAGATGTTTTTGTCTGTTGAAAAAATGGAAGTCGGATCAATGTGCGCTATGCGCTTTAAAACAGAAATATCACAAATTGCTGAAATCTTGTAAAAATTTTGGTGGATTTCTTTCTTTTTGCGTATCGATAGAAAACTGAGAGTACTGGATGAAATTATTTTTTGTTTTTCTATGCTATCCTAACCAGCATATTCCAATTCTTTGTTGTTAAAGAACATGGTTTTTTTTGCCAACGGATAGATTTACTGTTGAAAATCAACTCAAATTTTCGTTATAAACTAGTGAAAATGCACGAATAAATATTTTGCAGACTACCAGTTTTCTATTGGATATTTTTACAATGAGTTTTTAAAAGATGAAATATAAAATAAATAAAAAATAAAGTAAAAATAAATATTTTTTACTGTTTCTATTAAAACACACATGCTCTAACAGATATCTCACCTTTTAAAAGCTCATAAAACTAGTAATCTGCAAAATATTTATTCGTGAACTTTCACTACTTTCTAACGAAAATTTTGGGTGGTTTTTAACAGTAAATATATTCATTAACATAAAAAAAACCATGTTCTTTGACAACAAAGAATTGGAATATGCTGGTTAGGACAGCATACAAAAACAAAAATAATCCTAATCAGGAGCGAACTCTCAGTTTTCGATCAATAAAATAACTCTGTCATCTTAGAATCATCTGTTGTTAGGAAATGAATGTTAGGAAAAATATTATTGTTCAATGTGAATGAAGAGGATTTCTTTACTCAACATATCTGTGATAAATAGCTAACAGAAACATTATTTAGTAATCAATTATGTCAAGTACAAAAAATAATACAATCTGTTTCTTCCGTCGCATTTGTTCTTCTTACCTGTCTCTACTCTACACTATCTTTTTAGATAATGAAATACTCCCGCTCCCCGTAATAGAAGCCCCGGGGCTTCTAAACTGTCCAAGCGTTCAAAACTTTTAGGGGGGAGGCTTCTAATAGGTCTCACTATTTCAAGGGTTTCACGTACAAAAATTTTGTAACAACTTTTAGAGTTTTTCAGAGCTTTTCGAAGGGATTTCGAGATTCTCATGGTGGTATGTAAAATTTAAACAAGTTTTTCCCTTAAAATCCTGAAAATTTGACAGTTTTTACTTTAGAAATACTAATAAAACTTTCCGAAAATTTCAAAATTTTTTCAAATGAGGGGTTCTTCTAATACATTTTTCACATCGACCTCTCCAAGGGGGACTTCTATTATGGGGGAGGGGGGTTAATATGTAACGAAAGAACATAATGGGTTTTATAGAGCAGAAAATTTTCTATCGAATGAAGTCTTAGAACGTCAGTTAAGTGCCCGAAAGGCCTGTTATTATTTCTGCGTCATCCGTTATATAATCCATGCCCAAAGATGTGGATGTGTTTCATACTGTCTAAATCAGAGTTTGGCACGAGCCGAATCAGAAAGCTTTATAGACCAGTTGGGCCGGAACGGCAAGTTTTCTTTGTCGGACGGGGCCTTCTCTTTCTTTCCGAGAGCATATGATTAAATACATCAGTAAAACCACTATAAACATGTTCGTAATGAATATTGTCATATTTCTTTTTCTAATATGTAACTGAATAAACAGGCTATCTAGTGCATACAAAGATTGGAAAAAATCCGTGAAACTTTAATTGATAGAGTTTTGTGTTAGAAGCTCATTTATAGCAATTTGTCAACCAAGCCTATTTGTGTTAAAGATACAAGAGACTGTAAACAACTGAAAAAGGTCGGATCGTACACGGATCTCCACCTTTTGTCCTTGGATCTGGTCGGACCGTAAAATTTTTAAGCATGGTTGGGCCGAGCCGAGATCAAGCCTCAAGCTTTCTTTGTCGGGTCAGAAATTTTCGGCCCGTGTCGATCTCTGATCTAAATGTTCTTTTTGCTAAAAGTCTTTATTATAAACACAGATGGGAGACTCAAATTCAATTGTTTACGATAACCTTCGACATGATTATTAGTACACGATCTTATTCCAAAGACTCCAGAAATCAACTGAATATCTTGGTTGTTCAATATACGTTCACAATACATAATCGATCAATTTAATACATTTTCTATCAATTTATCGAAGAATGATTTTATTATATTTAAAATGCATCATCATTGTTTGAAATTAATTTTATTAAACCGTATTTTTTGAACTTTTTTTCATAGGTTTTGTACAAAATTAAAGTGACAACTTTTCATAATTTACGCGAGAAAGTGTCAGCATTCTACATGGCAACTTGAAAATCAATCAGTATTGACTATGGTCTTACACAATCGACATCATTCATCTCATGTATGTGTACTATACGATTGATAGAATAATTTTGGTGTTGTACAAAGTGTCCCATTTAGCATTTCAATGTTAATTATTTACAAAGCATTTCTAATGATGATTCTAATACTACACTAGATATGGATTATTACAAAATAAAGAGTTAATCATCTAATGATGGTACGAGTCATTTGTTGAGGTCTCATCAGTGATTTTCATGTTTCTAGCGCGATGATGGAAAAATGGGAATAAACAGATAGAATAGAATATTTATGTGATAGAATCAAATATTGGAACCGCGGTCCTTCTCTAAAAGAGTACAACAAATTCATTAATTTTGTTAGTAACAAAAACTACAAAGTACTTACAACTTTTTTCACTTGATGATCATAAATTTGAGGATATTGGAGTTGTTGGTTTTCCCATAATAGACATGATAATAGAATTTGTAAACGAAATTGAACTGAGAGTCGATATTGTGTTTCAAGATAATGCTCCCCTTCATTTTTATAGTGTTTATGCGATTTAAACAATGTCGCTGTCGGATCAATTTCAGAAATGGATGCGCTTTCAGTGAATGGATGTATGAGAAATACTTCAATTTATTTGTCTCTCTGTCTATAATAGGCAATTCTTTTCACTTCGGGCGTGATATGAAATTAAAGTATACAAAAGTGTTTCATTTTGTATAAAAGAACAAAAATTCTCTATCCCATATTGAAATCTTATTTTATTTGTATAAGAAATCAGAGAATGTGTTCATTCCAAATTGAGATCATTTTCTGAATATAATTAATAAGTCTAAAAAGAGAAAAAGAGTGATCTCTCAATCAATGGAAAAAGGAGCCGTTCGATGATATATATTTTTTCATTCTTTCTTCAATTACACGTATGCATCTAACGTTCCAAAGTGGCTTTGTTTGCTCGATTTATGTATTCATTTTACTAGAAGTAAACTCATTTATAGTTAATTGTTGACTCTTGTTTATTATTATTAATGTATATCATCTCTAATCAATATTGTCGATTTAGTATGTTGGTAATTATTTAGAAAGTGTGTGTATTTTGTTTTTGTTTTTTTTGTTCTAGATAATTCTCGATATGGCAAATGGTGACGAATTTCTATCAGAATTACAACAAATTCGTAATAGTGATGATCATTTAATAGTTATCACATTGTTACTTGATATTGGTAGAAACTTATTACAAGATAAAACAAATTTACGAAATAATACGTTGCCTATTGAATATGTTCATGAAACATTTCAGTCATATCCCGGTGCTATCAAATGTCTAATTGATATGGGTTTTGAAAAGGTACATTATTGACATTTAACAAAACTTTTATGAATTTATTTTTTTGTTCTATTTTAAAGAATGATCGTAATTATGTATTAAATAAATCATCGTCAATGGATCGTATCAGGCATATTGTTCAATTATTAGAAAATGAAGAAAATAAACAATTGAAAAATGAAAAAAATGTACGTTTTTATTAATCACTTTTCATTTTAATATCTATTCTATTCTTCTTAAGGTTGAGTCAATTATTTCATGTGAACAACGATGTGATAATACCGATCCGTCACCTACAACGTGTACAATTCCTCAACATGTTATCTCAATCTCCGATATTATGATTCCAAATCAACTTCGTTTTATTCCCTTTTTATCCATGTTAAATCGTGTTCAATCTTATGAAAATCCAAAATTAAAACAACTTATACGTGCCGTTGTACCGCATCAAGAATTAGATCAAAATATTAAACTCAAATTGAAACAACTATCAAATGAAGAAAAAGTATCGTACGACGATCTGTTATTATTAGAACTATTACAATGGTTCAAATATAAATTTTTTAAATGGTTTGATCAACCAAAATGTAATATGTGTGAAAAACAAATGGTTTATAGTGCCAGTGTAGAACCAACAGTAGCTGAATTAAAACATGATGCACATAATGTCGAATTGTACAAGTAAAATATGTTTTTTCAGAAATGACATTTTTTTTAAAGGATTGTGATTAATCTATCTCATTTTATCTTTTCAATATGCTCAAAACTCATAAAAATGACCTTATTTCATGACTTTGACTTTTTTGAGCACGTATCCGGTATGCGTAACCGACGAAATCTATTCGAAAAAAAGCACTCCCATTATATCATCATCACTATAATCGTACAATCAGTTCTCTTTCTAACCATTCACTATTTAGTCTAGTATAATACATTGTTCGATGTACATTGAAAAACTCTA